GTCTCATTTGTGGGATGGGATGGCTAGAATTCTCTGAAGTTAGGTATTCCCTTCCCCTAGGTCAGTTACATTCCAACAGAACCCCAGCCGGTTAGGCTCTGATTAAATAGTTTCTCTTGAGGGTAGACTTTACTATGAAGTTCACAATGGTTCCTTTCCCTTTTCCCTTGCCAGAAGTGCTAGGGGATTTTTCTCAGATATTCATTGTAAGAACCTGTAAAGTTCCAGGAGGTAAAACTCACAAAAGTGTGGGGGCCACCTGATGACTGGGTCCCCCTAGAGTTTTTATCTCTCAAATTTGTCCACACCGAGCCTCCAGTAATTCATCAAGTAGAGTTCAGGTTTCCCTACCTGGACACTGGTTCTCGTGGAGGTTTCTCTCTGGTAGGTTGTGATTCTCTGTATTTGTCTGCAAGTATCTCTAATTTTAAGCACAGCCATTTGCCCTGTGATCCCACTTCTGTGACAGATCTAAGAAGAGTTGTTGATATTTCAATTTGTTCAGCTTTTTACTTGCTGTTAGGATGCAGTGGTGACTTCCAAGCTTCTTACCTGCCAGACTGGAAACTGGCAGTCTGTTGCATATGTTTTTGCTCACCCGTGGGTATCTACAGCAGAAGTGGCTCTCAATGGTTGGGTGAAAAACAGTATATTCTGTAGGTATCAATTAGCCTTTTTCTAGCACCTATTTCCTTGCTCAGCAGGCTCATATACAAAGAACATAATGGCAGGAATATATGTTTTTCTAAGAGTCACCAAGGCTAATCTACTCAAACCTGCCAAAAGCCAAGATTGGTGCTGAGCAACTAATGTACCATTGCCTGGGGGGCCCAGAAAGCCATATGGTAGCAGGTTTATTACAATAGACCCCTTCCATCATGGATAGAACAACAATTACCCTCAGTGGAATAGATACTCATTTTAAATACAAATTTGCTTTTTCTGTCTGTAATGCTTTTGCCAAGACCACCATTTGTGGACTTACTATACTCCTTATTTCTTGTCATGATATACAATTCAACATTTTTTCTGACCAAAAATCTTATTATACAGTAAGAAAAGTTAAACAATGGCTTATATATGTGATCTTATAAATATGTGATTCATTGGTCTTAACATATGTACCATCCTCCAGAAAACCTAACCTGAGAGACAGTAGAATAAGAATCGTATGGAAGACTTAGCTATGACATTAGCTTGGTGACCACACATTATAGGTTTAAAATGCTGTCTTAAAAGAGGATGTATAAGGGCCGGCCTGGTGGTGCACTGCTATAGTGCGCTGCTCGGGAAGCGCGGCGGCGCTCCCGCTGAGGGTTCGGATCCCACATACAGACCGGCCGCTCCGGTGGCACACTGCTATAGTGCGCCGCTCGGGAAGCGCGGTGGCGCTCCTGCTGAGGGTTCGGATCCCACATACAGACCGGCCGCTCACTGGCTGAGCAAGGGGCGGGAGCAACACTGAGGGTTGCGATCCCTTGGCCGGTCCCAGCCCGGTACGGGCGTGACACTGAGGGTTGCGATCCGTTGCCGGACACGAAAAAAGAAAAAAAGAAAAAAAAAAAAAAAAAAAAAAA